CAAGTACACATAGCGACAAAATACACGTAGCGACCCAGGTAAACATAGCGAAAAAATACAAGTAGCGGCCCTAGAACACATAGCGACAAAATACACGTAGCGACCCAAGTACACATAGCGACAAAATACACGTAGCGACCCAGGTACACATAGCGAAAAAATGCACGTAGCGGCACAAGTACACATAGCGACAAAATGCTTGTAGCGCACAAGTACGCATAGCGACAAAATGCTTGTAGCGGCCCAAGTACACATAGCGACAAAATACACGTAGCGGTCCTAGTACACATAGCGACAAAATACACGTAGCGGCCCAGGTACACATAGCGACAAAATACACGTAGCGGCCTAAGTACACATAGCGACAAAATACAAGTAGCGGCCCAAGTACACATAGCGACAAAATACACGTAGCGGCCTAAGTACACATAGCGACAAAATACAAGTAGCGGCCCAAGTAGTACTCGTAGCGGCCACAGAATACGTATCGGCAGAAGTACAATCAGCGGCCCAAGTACAAGTATGATCGTATCGGCAGCGTACACTAAGTGACTTAAAACACGTACTAGCGGCCTATTTCTCGTCTGTGATTGCTGTATTTAGCTTTAAAAGCTGCCAGTTCTTGACTAACAGAGTTACGAACTCAAGTCGTAACTATTTTCGATGCAGCGGCCCTAGGCGCTCGACGTCTAATTCATTAGGTACTACAGCTCGATAACAATTCTTAAAATATACGTTGCATGAAACACGTTAATGCAAGAAATCGAGGAAAGATCAATGGAGAGATATTTGAATTTATGTTTTAAAATATAGATATCTATTCAAAAAAATAAGTTTCAGTTTAAAAATAGTAGAAACATCTATTTAAATTAGATTTATCTGTATTTTAAACCTGAAGGCAATCGACTCATTAAGATGAGTTTCATTTTGGTTATTTCCTGGGAGAATACAAATATACGTACCTAATATATAAAACAGATAGTGCGATGAATATTACTAGAAAATCTTGTTTCAAGAAAACGTCTAGAAATTCTCATGCTCCACGATGGCAAGTTCATTAAAACCTTGCAGCAGTCGGTGAAGACTGGAGGCATTGCGAAATCGTACCAATTCAACACTGAATCACCGGCCACATTAGAAACTAAGCTTGCCTCTCGCGCACTTAACTTAAATCTTCATCGCTGCTGGACGATCGCCGCAATAAATTGAGCGTCTGCAGACTGGGATAAGAAATGAATAAAAAAATAAAAGGATGGATGCTCACCTGGCGCAAGCAGGACAACAGAGCTCAGGTACTCCAGCCGAGGTTCGTCCCATGGGCAAAAAATGGACACCAAGAAGCATTACTTGGCCCGAAAATTGTTTAAAAAAGAAGATTATGTGAGAAAGTCATAAAAAAACACTGACACTAATCAATCACTTCAACACTATGCCGTCACTTTATATATTAGTGTCATTTTTTGAGCAGTAAAACACTGCACAAGTTAGTAAAACTTAGCAACGAAAGACACGTGCTCGTCGAAAATTAGAGAGGCACTCACCTACCTCCCTCAAGGCGGCTACACCTGCACTGACAGACGCGCGAGTGACGCGACTCCTAGTCTCCTAGACTCCTACCGTCTCACGGCGGCCGGACGATCACACACGATCCACAGTGGAGCATTTCAGCAATTTCCTATGATAGACAAGAATCGGCATATTGATTGACCTTTGTTCAGGTCCAGGTAGCCATAATGACCTTTAACTTGCGTTTGCATGGAGCAGTAGTGTTAGCTAATAAAGACATCCACTACTGATGACCACAACTGTCCGCCACAACCGTAAATGGCCAGTAAGCATGTACATTGTACACGAGGCTGATGTGACTTATAGTAATTCTGAAAAGAGGCCGTCAAGGTACGTCTTAATAGTTGGCTAGGATGCAAATTGATAAAAATAGTTGTTGAAAGCTCGTAGTGACATGACCATATATTTTTAATTCTCAACTAGTGTTTGAAGTGCATCGTCTTGGGATGTTCTTCTAATCTAACGTAAACCTACAATATAGATTGACCGTGTGTACTTGATAGAATATAACGACAATAACGATAATAAAATGTTATCTTGGAGTTGATAATGTAGATTTTCTCTACAGCAAAAAGCAATGATCACGTAGCATCAGTGTGCATCCTGGACATTGCAATGTTCTTTATTCATGAACAAATTACTTACATTGGAATACAAGAAATATGTATATCTACACTTTATCTCGTCGCCAAGGCAACCAAGCGCAATGAAACTGCGATTATGTTCGATTATGTGTCTTTTATTTTGCCTCAACTTACCGCCTCGGAAGGGTTGCAGCACTAGCAGCAGGTGACTCAGGGGTTACAGTTCAGAGTACCCAGGATTGGAGCAGTGAGGTGCGGGTTCGATCCCAGCTACCTGCTACTGTTTGGTTGAATTCGGCGCTGAGTAGCCGGGGGTTAAGGCCTGTAGTCACAGTGCGGCGAAGTCCGTGAGCGAGAAATTCGCGACAAGGATGTGGAACCCTTGTTCTGTGTTCAGATCGGCAAGTTGCTGCGCTCGAGCTTGTTGCCTTTGTAATATGATACCTGAGCCAGCACCCATCTAAGGGGCTGACGATGTCATGGCCAAATATGGTAGATAGATATTGCCTTGTCATTGAAATGCAAAAGACCCTTTCAGAGGATCTAGCTCAACATATTGCACAAGTAACTCTCAGATGCAAGTACTCAGTTATTGTACGTGTACATTGTGGATGCAAACAACGTACTGTTTGTATTGTGCACATTATGGATGCTAACAGCGTACTGTGTGTATTGTGCTTAGAGCTCTCTCTGGCCCCCGCAATGCAGCACCCAACCCTAGTGTTATGATCGCAGCATGCCGTGTTTATTCACTCAAGTCAAACACAGAAAATAAGATAATTGGATAATATTGTCCTGATAGTGACAAATTTCCTTCACGTAGCTCTGCGACACATTTTATCCGAGCTAAACGAGGTAAGGATCACCCACAAAATTTCGAAAAAAAGCATCGCTATTCGGACAAAGTCTCACTCATTTCTCTAAGTGCGTGTACAAGAGGGCGCAGTCCGGAGGCCAGCTTTGCCAAACTTCACTCATGGTTTATATTTTTCCGCAGGTAAGAACGCTAGAGAGCATAATAGCCTACGAAGTCAAGTGCTCAAAGCCATAGCGCCGAATATCCACAGCCACAACTTAAGCTTGCTAAAGGTAAACATGGCCATACTGCATCTGGCCACACCTCTTCCGGCCAAACCTCTTCAGGCCTAACCTACACAAGTTGCAACATTTCTCCACCCAAAACAAGCCTGAACTGACCTATCCTAACATCGTTGACTGCCAGTATGCTGGTTGAGCCAGTCATTGGCTGCAAGTTGGTTGTGAGACGGGACAGCGTGAATAGGTTAGGCCAGAAGAAGTTAGGCCGGAGTAGGTACAGCCGGATGAGGAACTGCCTGCTTATGAGCGAGCATGCTTAAAGCATTGGCTACAGACCTACGGCGCTATTATCTTCGGCAGCGTGTCACTTGTCTGGATTATGGAGTTCCAGCGTAGTCTGCGGCTTCTAGTTCTGAGGCTGAGTAAAGTTAATGCATGTTGTGGCTGGGCGTTGTCTCCAGCGCTTATTTAAGAGTAAAATTTGTGGCCTACGGCTGCGCCCCCCCCCTCTTCCATTCAAGCACGTATCGGGGACGCCTGTCGGAGACCACCACTGCCGTGCTTCGAATGGACTATCATGATCTCTTCCCTGAAGAACGTAGCCTACAACACTTCTTGACAGTAACATTATCAGCCGCACGCCACCAGACAGATCACATCCATTGAATTAGATCAACCAGCCCACAGTAAAATAGCCTTACGTCGTATGGCCCAGCGTCGTCAGCCAATACTCGAAAAAAGTTTACACCACCAGGACGGAGCGCGCCGGAGCCGTCCGTATCTGTCCCGTGTGTCAAATCAGCCGGGAACGCAGCCGTGCACCACCAAATTTGTGCACCAATCAGCCCTGAAAGGAACGCCTAGAATATTTCCGGATGACCACCAATCAGCCGCGCATTAACCCTGCCGTCAGTAACCAGCCCATGACATCATCTTTCTTTCAATATTTTAAGCTTTACGCCACCATATTCTGAAGCGAATAGCCCAGAGAGTAATGGTTGTCCACCACTGAACGTTGCATCGAATCATCACTTCATACCCTGACTTTAGCTCGAAGTGTACTTGCGGACAACGGACTGTGACCAATCAGCCCAGGTCGCCAGTGGAACTGCATGCATCCTGCCGTGCACCACCAGACGGTCACTTTGAGCTCACAACATCCGGGGTTAGGTTTCAGAAAGCATAGTTCTGTTCCAAATTCTATCGTCCTTCGACGAGCATTTTCCGCAGTTTAGCTAAATTACGTAACTTTTAGCTCACAGCATCTGGGGTTAGGTTTCAGATAACACAGTTCTGTTCCAAAATGTATCGTCATACGACGCGTGGCCGTTCGACTGTAAGCTGATTCGACACAAGGGACAGATACGGACGGCTCCGGCGCGCTCCGTCCGAGTGGTGTAAAAATTTTTACGTATTGGCAGACGACGCTGGGCCATACGACGTAAGGCTATTCTACTGTGGGCTGATTGATCTAATTCAATGGATGTGATTTGTCAGTCAGGATAATGTTGCAGTCAAGAAGTGTAGTAGGCTACGTTCTTCAGGGAAGGGATCATGATAGTCCATTCGAAGCACGGCAGTGGTGGTTTCCGACGCTACCGCTACCGCTACATGCTCTAAATGTAGCGAGCGCTACCGCTACCGCTACACCCACTAGATTGTAGCGAGCGCTACCGCTATCGCTACAGTAAAATGTAGCGCCGCTACAATGGCCAAAATTATTGGAAATCTCTAAATATTTATTGTTCTGCTTTTGGAATTTACTCATAAACATTTAATGATAATAAAACATTTTCAAAACATATCAATGCAACTTTATTGCATTTAACCTAACCGAACTAGTACGGGTTAGATGCAGTAAATAATAGTTACAGGTATTTTTATGTTTTACCTTCGCTACATGGATGTGAACTTTAATCTACCAATCTCAAAAATTATCCACATATACATATAAAAATCAGTTTTTTATTTGTATATATATGTGGATTATTTTTGACGTTGGTAGATTAAAGTAGACATCCATGTAGGGAAGGTGAAATATATAAATAACTATTATGTAATTTATATTATGTATGTATCATGCTGCTTTTTAAATAATATATAATACTATTAGGTAAAATCTAAAGGCTTTATCTATAAATGTAGCGGTAGGGCTGTAGCGGCAAAACCTCATATCGCTACTTAAATATGTAGCGGGCGCTACCGCTACCGCTACATTGCCTTAAATGTAGCGCCGCTACCGCTCGTCAGTGTGTGTCTTAATAGTTGGCTACGATACAAATTGATCAAAATAGTAGTTGAAAGCTCGTACTGATATGATCATATATTTTATTTCTCAACTTGTGTTTGAAGTGCATCTTCTTGTGATGTTCTTCTAACGTAAACCTTCAATATCGATTGATCGTGTTTAGTGATTGAATATAACGACGAAAACGATTTCGTATAACATGGTATCTTGGAGTTGATAATGTTGATGTTTCTATAGCAAAAAGCACTGATCACTTAGCGTCAGTGTACATCCTGGGCATTGTAATGTTCTTTATTCATGAACAAATTACTTTTATAGAATACAAGATATACGTACATCTACTCTACACTTTATTTCGTCGCCAAGACAACTAAGCGCACTGAAACTGCGTTCATGTTCGATTATGTGCCTTTTATTTTGCCTATACGTATCGCCTCAGAAGGGTCGCAGCACTGGGAGCAGGTGCTCAGTGGTTACAGTTCAGAGTACCAGGATTGGAGCAGAGAGCCTGCAGAACATAACCAGAGTAGCCGTGGGTGTTATCCGAAGCAATAGAAGCCCGATGGCTTCAACTACAGTGTTTACGAATTTATGTGAATGTTGCAGCTTGTTCAAAGCTGCACGAGCTACATCGTGTACTATGAAGCTGCAAAGACGATGTCATGGCCAAATATGGTAGATAGATATTGCCTTGTCATTGAAATGCAAAAGACCCTTTCAGAGGATCTAGCTCAACATATTGCACAAGTAACTCTCAGATGCAAGTACTCAGTTATTGTACGTGTACATTGTGGATGCAAACAACGTACTGTTTGTATTGTGCACATTATGGATGCTAACAGCGTACTGTGTGTATTGTGCTTAGAGCTCTCTCTGGCCCCCGCAATGCAGCACCCAACCCTAGTGTTATGATCGCAGCATGCCGTGTTTATTCACTCAAGTCAAACACAGAAAATAAGATAATTGGATAATATTGTCCTGATAGTGACAAATTTCCTTCACGTAGCTCTGCGACACATTTTATCCGAGCTAAACGAGGTAAGGATCACCCACAAAATTTCGAAAAAAAGCATCGCTATTCGGACAAAGTCTCACTCATTTCTCTAAGTGCGTGTACAAGAGGG